GCATAACTTTTGTATAATATGTTCAACCCACTGAGGCCATGGCCCATGTGTATTAAGGTGAAAACTTGTTTTTAACATAACTTTTGTATAATATGTTCAAATGACTCGATCGTTTTTTTGCGTTTGCTCCCTTTTTATCTTGAGTACATGATGAACTATTAGTAATATTGGAATTTTATACAAGTGTCAGCTTATTATAATAATATCCAAGTGTTACATAAGGTAAACCACACTTATCAACTAGGACTCATGTCCTTGGGTTTCTCAAAGATTTCCCTTACCTTACACCAGAGTTAATGATGTTTCCAGTAAGTATTTAAATACCACACACCAGTACTCATGTTCTACAATTTTTACACACTTTCCTCAAATACTTTAGATCTTAATCAAATTCCTGTGTTAAGACCTTTTTACTCACATCTTACGTAATGTTCATGAAACATAATATAACTTATGCTACATTTAAGTATATTTTCTAATCCTTAAATCAACACCAACGTAAGTTTTCTGGCGTTTTTCTTTTTTGTTCCCTAGTTCTAAAAAATAGTAACTTACTTTTGCAATTTGTGCCATTAATTTTCCATTTAAATACTTATTTCATTCTGTTTTCATTCTAACATATAATTTAACATGTCTAAACATTATTTTCTACCTTCACCTCAAAATTAAGGCATTATTCATAAGTAGCACAATGAACTTATGTGTTTTGTCTGACTTGACAAATTATGTTTTTTTCTTGTGCAATAAGTCATCTAATTTTTACTGTACATGCCAATTAAGTCATTATCGTTAGTTTTGAATCATTCATCCGTTAATCAGTTATCTAAATTACACGAATGACCCCTATGAGTTAAATATTTTTCGTGGTGGATCCTTTACCAGCTATGGTTTAAATTACACGACCAAAACTGACATATTTACAAAACCCTGAGGACCAAAGTGTAACATTCTCATCAAGAATTAATCATATCCATTGAAGAAAAAGCTTGAGGTTCTTAATCAATGGTGGTGTCATCTTCACAAGGTATGTTTTCTTGAACAAGTCTCAACTTCAGTTTTAATCCTTGATTTATTTTTTGTTCTTCACTCAATTTCTTTTTAGTATCCTTGTAGATCGTCTTCAAATTTTTGAGTTCGTGTTTGCATATCGTCTTCCATTTTTCGAATCTATGTTTGAAGATTGTCTGCTTCTTTTCTTAACATGCATGCAAGAATAATCTGGGATGAAATCGAGGATTCGAAAGTAGTCACCATGTTCAAAAGCGTATCAATCGTATCCGCCAATTCTATAATTATTTGTGGATTCTTCGATACACCTTCCAAGCTTTGATTTGATACGTTTCTGATTTCTAGTTCTTGTTCTTGTTCTAGATCTGATTCCATATTATATTTATGTTTGATTGATTTGAGTTTTTGTTTAGCTTGATCGAATCTTTGGTGCCCTAATTTAACATCGTACTTCAATTTCTTTTGTTGATCTTATAACATAGCTAAGGTCTCTTGATATGAGTTCAAAGCTTCTTTTGCCATTAAAGTACCTTAATCGTCTGATTTGAAACAGATTGAGATGGAGGAGTCGTTATCGTTCTCTAATTCGTATTCATGGATTCAACTTTATCAAAAACACCTCCGGTTCGTGTTTAATTTGGAGCATTTGGCGGATCGTTATTCACTGCCGTTGCTTCACTATTTGCACTTCTAGATCCATAAACAGTACCATTCGAACTGGATGTAGTAATCGTGGAATTCTTATTCGATTATGTAGAATTTGAATTGAAAAGGAAAGAGTAAACCGAAGAGAGCTGGGATGTAATACTCCCATCAGAATCAGAAGAACTAGCTGTACCATTGGGTTGCAAATTTATACTAGCACCACTCCTACTACTAGAGATCCCAAACCTTGAACCACTGAAGATATTCAAGAACTATAGAATAGAAAAATTAGAGGAAGATGATGAGCATGTTACACTTTGGTCCCCAGAGTTTCATAAATGTGGCAATTTTGGTCGTGTAATTTAAAACCATAGCTGGTAAGGGACCCACCACGAAAGAAATTTAAATCATAGGGGCCATTCGTGTAATTTAGATAAATGGTTAACGGATGAATGGTTAAAAACTAACGACATGTACAGTAAAAGTTAGATGGGACTATTGCGCAAGAAAAAAACATAATTGGTCAAGTCGGACTAAACACATAAGTTCATTGTGCTACAATGACATTAACCCTTATTCACAATTTCATCATTTCCAAAAGCTTTGGTTTTCAAGATCTTTCATAACTTCAACCATTTCCCTTAAGACTATAAATACATTACAATTAAAATTTAGGAATGTTACATTGAACATTTAGTTTTATTAAAGCTTCTAGTTACGAAAATTCTATGGGATATGTCATTTTAACCCAACGAACTTGTCGGGTTTGTTTTAAAAGGTCACTAAATTTTTAGTTTTTTTGCACATTAAGGGAATTAATTATAATGTAACCGGTTAAAATGATCATTTGACTCTTGATAGAAGGTATGCATGCTATAGAAGACAAAAATGGGTGAGGTGGATGCCAAACCTTCCTTGATATTTGAAGTTCGCGCATGTGCGGGTTTATCAACTAATTAGTAGTACATATGAATGTCGTTGTTGATGAAAATCGTCTGTAAAACTTTCACGATTTCTACTGCAACGTATAGAGAAATCAAAATTAAGTATGTGTATAACAATAAAACTGTGAGAAAATGATACATCGTTGCAGCTGGAGCGTGTTTTGGCCTTTTGGGTCGAAAAAGATCTTTGAATCGTCGGGTTTGAAATACCATCTTTTCATTCTGTCATCATCTAAATCGTTCTTTGTAACAAAATCTCGAAGTAAATCGAACCTAGAAAAGCGATTAGAAACAAGAAATAGATGACATTATCCATTCGATTTTCAACCCCAATTCTTTTTGGAAGGTGCGTCTGTAGAGTTTTGAATCACTTCCGTATCGTGACCAGTGAAGTTCATCGTTTCAATGACACCATAGATGTAATATGTGTTTCTGAGCTTTAAATCGCATAAGAGAAGCTGTTGTGGTGAAAGTGCAAACTGTTGTTCTTGGAACTTCATTATTCGAATGAAGTGTAGAGACTTGCGTTTGGATCTTAGATTTTGCTGTTGCTTTGAAGTTGTTGATGTTTGAATCGTTGTTATTTGAGTCAACAAAAAACTATTTTAAACCATGAAACTAAAGAATCAATCTCATCTATAGATTTTCATCAATTAGGGTGGACATGTATGGACCATATTATAACAAAAAACTCATTTCTTATTTTATTTTATTTTTTATTTTTATGACTATCTTTTTATCGGAAAAAATCGAATATACCGAAATTCATAATGTTTTATCTTCTTTCCACAGACATCCATATTAATATACAATTTTTTTTCAAAAAAACACACTTCGTTTTGATAGATTTTTAAATATTTAGGCTTATTTTTACCAAAAAATAACATAAATATACCAAAATTCATAAATTTTGCTACTCTTTAAATAGACATTCACATGGATGTAAAAAATCAAAATTTTAACTCAGATTCATGATGTGAATATTGAAACTGAAATATATATGCACTTCAGATTCACAGTATGAATCTACAGTGAATCTGACTAACAAAATAAAAAAAAAATATTTCTTTATATTGATATGAATGTCTATTTTAGACGACAAAAAATTAAGAATTTTTTATATATGTTTAGTTTTTTTTTAGATAAAAAATAAATCTAAATTATAAAAAAAAATAACAAAACAAATTATATTCACTTTAGATTCACAATAAGAATCTTAAAAATTAAATTATATACAGTTCAGATTCACGGTGTGAATAAATTCACTTGTTAATTTTAAAAAATCAATTTATGACTAATCAAAACGTTAAAATATTATAAAACTAAAAAGAAATATACTTTAATTCACATGAAAATTTTAATAAATTAGTTTGTGACTGATCAAAATGTTGAAATAGTAAATCAGATTCACATTCTGAATGATAAAAACAAAATTATATGCAGTTCAGGTTCACGATATGAATATGTTCACAGTGTGAATCTAACCCACAAAGTGAAAAAACCTAAGTTTTTTTCATATATATGAATATTTATTCAAAGATTACCAAAAATTATAAATTTTGATATATTTATTTTAGTTTTTTCGATAAGAAATAAGCGTACATATTAAAAAAAAAACAAAATGAATTGAGATTTTTTCGGAAAAAAAAATTTGTTTTTAATACATCAGTATGGATGTTTATGGAAATATTATAAAAAGAATTATGAATTTTGATACATACTGAGTTTTTTTTATAGAAAAATTAAATCTTAAAAATAAAAAATAATACGAAAAAAATGAGTTTTTTGTTATT